AACTCGACAGATGAAGCCCAAGCTAAGTAGTTTGAACCTCCCATTAAAGGTTCCGAGGTAATCATAACATTATAGTTTCCAGAACTCATGCTTTTAGATCCAAAAACATCAATTCCCAAAGACATCTTGTAAATTATTACCAAATAAGAGAAATAATCAACTGTAATCCACTGAAAATAGAGTAAGGAACGCTGAACCAGAATAGGAAACTACTGTAGTAGTTGGAAAGTTACTGTTGCAGCCGGAAAATATTCAAAGTGGTCGGAATGAAATAAAAATGGTAGGGGTAGGATCGGAATTACAAGGGAAACAATCTANGCTCGGAATTGCAAGGGAAACAATCTGTCCTGAAGAGTCGTCGCCAAAAAATGGCCGGAAGGTGGCCCACGCAACGTTGGAACTTCGCCGGAAAATTTTCTTTGGACAGCTACAGTACCGCCGGAGATTTTCACTGGGATTTGGTCGCCGGACAGTGACTACTCTTGTGGTAGTGTTGGATTTTGTGCACAACACTGACCGAGACAAAGCAGACGCAAAACAACTTTGAAAGTCGCCGGAAAAAAAGAGTTCCAGTGACTGATTTTACTTCCCGGAATCGCTGGAATTTATGCACAGCGATAAATCTCTCACGATAGCTCTGATACCATGTGAGAAGGCACGGGAGAAAATATGATATATATTGATATCTTGTATGTGATGCAATACAAGAGGTGCTATTTATAGCTACTCTATACAAAGGGGATACTACTCCTATTCCAATGTGGGACAATTACATAGCTATTTCTAACATATTACATACCGGAAAGAGAAGATAATTGCTGGTATCTGTCGGGGCCTATCATTTACTAATACCACGGATTAAGGCTTTTATTTTTGTATAAACCGATAAATCCTCAAGGCTAGTGGAGCACAGTTCAAAACTCGGTGGATAATGGGCTTGCGGTTTTTGTCTACAGTAGGGTTTGAACACGTGACATGCACCTAATTCATACATCACAAGTTGCTCTCTCACCATTAGACCAAAGCCCTGAGACACTATGGATTAGGCTTCTTATTTTCATTTAATCAAGTATCATTTGTTTTATCTCAAGGCTTCTATTTGCCTTCATTTAATCAAATATCAATCCTTATACAAGGAGGGAAAGAAGATAATGATATATAACAATTTGATATATGCTGCATATTTGCAGTATGCTTGCTGGAGTTTTTTCCTTTAGCCCCTCTCCTTTTTAGCGTCAGGTTTGTTAAAAGAAAAAAAAACTCAGGTTTGTGTCAAATGAGATCAACAATAGGAGGACATGTATAATGTTCTTTTCATGTGCTTAATATGGTTTTTGAGAACTTCAAAATCTTGAAAAGCTGACTTGCCCGGTTGTTATCAGTACAACTTGTACCAGGAACTGAAGTTGCTGTTGCTCCAAAAAGGCGAAAAAGAAATATTAGTTCAGGTGAGGATTCCATGACGCAAGATGATAAGATTTCGGTCTCAAAGGCACTATTGAGAATCCAAGATACTGGTGATCAATGTATTCATAAATACGAGGCTGATGGAGTTGAGATGAGAGTGGTTTTGACCTCTGCTATCTTCATTCATCCAGAGACAGCCAGTATATACACTTTTGAACCTCTTCAGACTGTGGTAATAATTCCCAGATTGCTTCCCAAAGAGACCAAGAAGAATCAGGAGACAGATAGCCGTAGATTGAAAAATAGTGTAACTTCAAAGGAAGTGAAAGTAGGGGGTGCACCTGACAAGCACGATATCCATCATGCAATGGTTCGTCTAATATTTTCAGAATCAGTGGCTAAAGGACATATAATGCTTCCTCAGTCTCTTCGGCTTTATTTGAGAGCGGAGTTACACTCATGTAGGTTTTTCTTTGCAGAACTAAATTGATGCACCAATTGCAGAGAAGCTGGTGTTATCTAACAGTTCAATTTATTACTCATTATTCGGCTCAGACTTGTTGGTATTTTATGAAGCAAGTTACTTATATTATCATTTCTTATTAATTTGTTTTTCATATACCATTTGAACTATTCTATTGTTTGCAAGAGTTTTTTCTGGTTTGTCACCCATACCTACTTCCATAGCAATTAAAAAAAATATGATCCAACTTCCATAGGAAACAGAAAAATAGGGAAGATCACATTCATTTCTTCCATTGGTTCATTGATTGATAATTGTCCAACTTGCTAATAGCCACTCCTTAAAAACCCCTCTTGTCAAAAAAGCAACGGAAGAACCTCAAAAGAATTGGACATGTTACCTGACTAAAATGTTTCTCCTATCATGTCCAGGATTCTATCAAGAATAAATTGGTTTGCTTGCAATTATTTCACCTTTTTTTCTTACTGTAGCTCTGAAAAATTACTTTAATTCCAGGTGTTTATGTGAAGAGATTCAATGTCAAATTGAAGAAAGAGATTCCTTTAGTTTCGCTTTCACCTTGTGAATTCAAGGTACTCCAAGAGAATGGGGTTTCTGAAGAAAATAATGCTGAAGTTTTGGGTAACAAAAAGAATAATAAAATAATAACAACACTTTTCAGAACCAATTCAGACATTGAGATGGGTACTATTGACTGGTCAACCCATGAGAAAATTGCCACAGCCTTTTCTTCTGAATCTAGCAAGGAAAACAAAGAAACGAGCGTCAAGTCTGATATGAAAAAGGGCATTGCAGCTCTTTTGCATAGATGGTGTCTTGCACAACTACATGCTGTCACGCTAAAGGCTGGAGTGGAAGTGAAATCATTGATTTTAGGAAACACAACTTTGCTTCACTTCAAAGTGAAAGATGACAGATCCATAAAACATGGTGTCCAAACAATGAATGGTGGAGAAGCAGCACTAGATGTTGTATATGTGTTGTCAATTTCTGATGAATCAATACATGACGAAAAGATTGATGCATATGAAGTTGCATTTGATGAAGGAAGCAAGTTAACTACTACTCCCGAAAGTTCAGAACCTTGGCTTGGAAAGCTTCAACTGGGCAATGGTCTCTCCATTAGGACTGTCAGGGAGAAATGCTTCGCTAAAAGCACCAGTCTTACAATTTCTTCATTAGACTGGATGGGAATGGCTGCATCTGATGTGATCAATAGTAGGTATTTCCTCGTTTGATTAGTGTTAAATCATCTAATTGTCTGAACAGAACTCTAAATGCATTGAGATTTATAGGAGCTGTATAACTGCAAATTTTCTACCCTTCTTTAAGGACATCTGCCTTTTACTGTGTAATGAAGATATATTCCAACAGTAACTTTTTAGTAAAATTGTATGAGAAAATTATGCTTATTTCCAAAATGCAACATGCCGAATTGCCTTATAGGTAAGTAAGGCTTGATAAGCCGGAGTATGTTTGTGTAAGAGTAAGGGACAGCACACAAAGGGAAAAAGGAAGGGATAAATAGAGTATTGAAGGGATTGATGACGTGAATAATTTGGAAAGGAAAGAGGTAGGCATATGAAGAGAGGGAAGCAGTACATACCACTAGTTGACCTGGGAAAAGAAATTTTGGGGTGGTGAAAGACACTTTCTTCTGTCCTTGGGACTTTGGTGATAAAGTTGCTTTCATGTGAGATGGAGAGGTAGAGAGCTTTCTAACTATTTCCACGTTAGCAGATGGCTGTCACGTACTATGTATGATAAAAGATGGTTTGGGTGGTCGTTGAGTACTGGAATAAGTATTTAAGCTGCAAAATTTTCCAAATGGGAGAGCATGAAGTGCCAAATGCTGGAGGAATACAAGAATGCAAAGTGCAGTTTATGGTACTTGAGTACTTCTTTGTTTTCTGATACTTTTAGGCTTTTAGCAATCTCAGTTTTCAAAATCCCATTCTTATTAGTTGATGGAGAATAAATCCACATAATAATAACCAAGATGCGGTTGGTGGGTAAAGAGATGGAGTAATACTTTCTGCAGTTTTAACTGCCAGTGCTAAGTTATCAAATCCATTGACAATTTGACATCAGTGAAGATCTTGAAAGGTTTCAGCTTTAACTGAAAAGATTGTGAACCATATTTGTGTTATGTAAGTCTGCAGTATGTCAAAGAGTTGCGCATGCATTTATTTCTTGTTTTCTGCCAAGCTAATATTGTGACTGGTGATTTTTTTTTTTGTATTCAGTTAAGTACTGTTTTTCCCCCTTGGAAAAGGGGAAAATTTCCAAGGAAAAAAAAATAGTATTTAACTGATTAAAAAAAAAAATTCATCACTTGCATACTCTTTTTTTCCCTTGGCTGAATGCTATCATTACTTGCAGGGTTGGTAGTTCTGTTATCTTCAGAGTCTTGGATGTTGTCCAGTGCTTATGATTTTCCGCTGCCAGGACATATTCTAATCCATGGGCCTTCTGTGAGTTCCCTTTTTCCAGTTCCTTTTTGTGTGTATTTGCTGAATATTTGGATGTTGAAATCTCTGGAGAAGCTTGAACGTGACTAGATGGTTTACAAGCTACCTTTATGGTGTTTCCTTTTCGTTTGTGTTTTCCCCTCTCTCTGCTGGTGTAATGTTTGGTTCCTTGAGAGATGGAATAGTGTAGGAAATATTAAGCAATTTGTCTCTCCTTTCATGCTTTCCAAGTCAAAGGGGAAAGAAAAGAAGAACTGAAAGGTCATCATAATAAAAAGACTAACCTAGTGAAAAGGAAGAAGAACGAGCTGTACTTACTTCCCATATTGTTTGACTTGCTTTGATTGTCCAGAGCATTCTTCCAATGGTCCCGGATTAACTTGGTCCCTGCAATTTTTGGACCATTAGATATGTGAAGCCTACAAGATATAAAGTAGCACACAATGCAGGGACCGTGCAAGTATCTTGGTGTTATATGAGTAGAGTTGGCTTATTTCAGAGGATAATTCATGCTTGTGTCTTCTTATCTTTCTTTGACGAGAACTTATAGATTTAGGAAGAAGCCAGAAAAAGAAGAAAAACGGAAGGAAGAAAAATTACCAACCACAAAAGGCTAGAATCTTAGGATGGAAGGAACTTGAATGGCTTCCACTCTCTTGAGGAAGCTGAATGAGTCTAAACACTCATATCTGAAATCTGGCTCCATGAGATGGAAAGATGGAAGAGTTGGATCATAGCATCTCAGAGATGGCAGATGTTCCTTGGTGTTTTCAATGTAAAATAGTGATGCAAAGCAGCTTAAAGGAAGCTATTATATGCTGGATGGAAAGGATGGGGAAAAGACAACATAAAGTCATACAGCTGAGAAATTCCACCTTGTATTTTACAGGTGATTTGGAATGGAAAAATCACTGGTGTTTTGAATTTAGTTGTCTTTTGGCATGAATAAGGTTGTTAATTAGGCTTTTAACTCCTTGTTTGGCCTTCAATCTTAAAGGATGAGCCCAAGTATCAAAATGCAAAAGTTATTAACGGTATCTTTTGTCCTGTAAAGGTAGTTTGCAACTGTTCATTAAGGAATAATCGTTTGTATATCATCCGTGCTTATACACACTGTCTACAAAAGTTTTAAAAAAGGATGTGTGGTAAGGAAGCGTACAGTCACAAGGTGCTGAGCTACCTTTAATAGTAATGGTATCCTTTAGGATATGTCCTGGAATTTATGGATCTAAACAGAATGATTGTGTAGAAATCCAATCTGTGTAATATGTGGGACGTAAGTTGATAAGTGTAACTCTATCTCTATTATTTATCTAGGTTAGTTGATTTAGTATGATTTTGACCTTGACTAATGTGAATCTTACAATATTATTGCAAACTGTTGAATGAACCCCAATTTGAACATTTCTTCTGTTTTTAGGGTTCCGGGAAAACATTATTAGCTACAGTAGCTGCTAAATTCGCTGAAGAAAGTGAGGACATCTTGGCCCATATGTAAGGATTTGTTTGGCCAATCCCACCAAACCTTTGTTTTCTGTTGGACATCATCTTAACTCCATGTTGAAGCTTCAGCTTGATCATTCGTGATTCTATACCAAGGGATGTGGTCTGACTCTTGTTTCTTCCTGCAGAACATTTTTATCTTGTTCTAAGCTTGCTTTGGAAAAGCCTTCAACCATTCGTCAAACTTTGCTTAGCTATGTTGCTGATGCGTTGGATCATGCACCTTCTGTTGTGGTATTTGATGATCTTGATAGCATTATTGCAGCCTCCTCTGAGTCTGATGCTTCTCAACCTTCTTCCTCATCAGCAGTGCTTGCAGAAAACTTTGCTGATATTATGGATGAATATGAGGTGAAACTTGCCGTTAGAGCTTTAAAGGAGCTACTTTAATATTTATCCAAGGCTTGATTTATGTTCAATCGTGTTTGAGTCTAAACGAGCTGTATATTGGAACCTCCATGGCCAGCTTGATTTCTGTTCTCGTCTTAGGATATGTGCTAACTCAATTTCTCTTTCCCATAAAATGTCGGAAGGTTATTTGCTTCTCAATGAGGTAGAAATAACACAACTGATGAGAACATTAAGAGGTCGTTTGGTAGAGTGCATTGGAAAAAGTAGTGCATGCATTAGCTTTGTATATTAGTAATACCTTGTTTGGTACACTTTTTCAACCTATGTACAACTAATACAAGCATTAGTTACACACTCTTTTTGGTTTTATCCTAGGTATAGCTAATACGTAGCAGTCCATTGTATTAGCAATACCAAGGTTATTAATACATGTATAAGTTTAGTTAACGACAAAATTGCCCCTTCAAATTTTATGCTTGATTAAAATTCTTTTTACCTGTTTTTCGTTAATGTAAATAAGATACAGGTGGACAAATTTGCCTTTTCTAATTTTTTTCCACCCCATTTTCTAATAGTAAATTCTTTCAATTAATCATCCCTTCTATTAAAATATCATATTTAATAAATAAATAAAAAGCTAAAAAATCGCAATTCCTTTTTGCAATTCCATCTATTTTCAGTTTCCTATGATGCTTATATTATCTTTCTGATTTTTGTTGTTGTCACAGATTCTATTGTCTATTTTCATCTTCTTGAGCTGAGGGGTCTCTCGGAAACAACCTCTCTACCCTTTGGGGTAGGGGTAAGGTCTGCGTACATTTTACCCTCCCCAGACTCCACTTGTGTGATTTTACTGGGTTGTTATTGTTGTTTCTCTACAATCACGGGATTCTTCCTCTTCCTCTCATGTGAGGCCAATTGCTCCATGGACACACCGTCTTGGATCAACAATTGGACAAACTGTATAACAACAAACCCAGTATAATCCCACAAGTAGGGTCTAGGGAGGGTAGTGTGTACGCAGACCTTACCCCTACCTTGAGGGTAGAGAGGTTGTTTCTGATAGACCTCCGACTCAAGGAAAGATGTAATTTTTAATACACCAAACCAAACAGTCGATAAGAAATAATCTCAGTATAACTAATGCATGCATAACTAATACCCGCATAACTAATACCAGCATTACTAATACATTCTATTCAGCTCTATGCTTATACACTCTACCAAACAACCTCTAAGGATTCTGACACAGTGGAATTCATGTGTCTTCCCTATTTTAATTATGGTGCGACTTTGCTGCCTTCCCATATTATTTTTTCATGAATTTAGACAAACCTAGAAATTTTCATATTCTTCTAGTCGCTGGAATAGTAGAGGTGCGAGTAAGCTCACGTTACCGGTATTAAAAGAAATCTCTTTCATGCTTGGAGAATATGGTGAAATGCTGGAACAAAGTAGGAGCTAATGTAAGGCAAAAGAAGTGGTGGAAATCTAGCCCTGCTTGCATATGGTGGACTGTGTGGACAGAGAGAAATGCAAGGTGTTTTAAAGATATCAGCAGTCCTATACATAGAATTAAATCAAACTGTATTTTTGTCCTTGTTCTCATGGTGCAAAGAAAATTAGGTAGAGGATGCTGAATCTTTACTTGATTTGCTAGGATCACTGTTAAGAATTATAAGTAGTTCTTGTAAGGTGAACAAGACTCTGTTTAATTGAACTGTAAATAGAGTGGTCAGCATTTCCTTAATGCTGATGAATATCTGTTACCAGTTTCCCAAAAAAAAAAAAAAATGGTAAATGTCCTTAGCCAAGGGCATTCAAGGTTTGCAATATTATTTGCAACTTCTCTGAGGTCTTGGACCCTTGGGTGATTCATTACAGAGTCTTTTAACTGATAACGCTGTTTGTCTGTTAAACAGGAAAAACGGAGGAACACGTGTGGGATTGGCCCAATTGCATTTATTGCTTGCGCACAGTCTCTGACTAATTTACCACAGGACCTGACCTCTTCTGGTTAGTCCATCATCTTTCAGGGAGAAATCAGTTTTATTATTTATGACAGTTTAAACTGTCTTCCTCTATCTTCAGTACCACTATACTTTATTCTTAATCCTAATGTTTGTTTTTTATTATGGTCAGGGAGGTTTGATTTTCATGTTAAATTGCCTGCACCTGCTACCACAGAGCGTGGTGCCTTGCTAAAACATATAATTCTGAAGCGTTCTTTGCAGTGTTCGGATGACATCTTGCTGGATATAGCGTCCAAGTGCGATGGATATGATGCATATGATCTGGTACTTAATTCAGCCCTAAGCTTGACTAATAACTGACTAAAACAATTTTATATATGAATGCTTGCTGCTATCTCGGCCGCGTATGAATAGCTTTTAGCTTGATCTGGAAGGAGTAAATCTATCTCTTCCTGCTCTCCCTTCCAGCTAAACATCAACATTCTTTCCTGATGGTCCCTACCAAAGCAAAACGGTGTTGGGTACAATGTTTCTCAATAGTAAATTGAAAGGCCTACTCAGTTGATGTGGTGTCACCTTTCTTCTCAACTATTTTCCCTGATTAATTAAGTTGGTTAAGATTGATATTGGGGAAAATAAACATCGCTTACAGGTGGCATTAAAGTATGTTCAGGAGAAATGTTAATTTTATCTTATATGTTCAAACTCCAAACATCCTGCCTTCTCCAAACAATAACAACAACAACAAATGCAGTGTAATCCCACAAATAGGGTCTGGGAAGGGTAGTATGTACGCAACCTTACCCCTACCTTGAGAAAGTAAAGAGGTTGTTTCCGATCCTGCCTTCTGCAAACAGAGAACTAAGATATTTTCATATTACTTCTGAAAATACTGACCATGTACATAACATCAACTGTAACTTTAAGGAATGTTGAAGACATAATTAAATAAATAAACATATGCTCTCTCTAACAATTTAAGCTTTTAGATGAGATGGTCATACACTTCAACATAGTATAAGAGCAGACAAGAAGTCGTGAGTTCGAGTCTCACTGTCACCAACTATAAAAAAGAATGTCCACATGCTTAGCTCATAAAAAGAATCAAGCCTGCACGTAAGTGAGCGTGTTGAAGACATAATTAAGTAAATAAAAGTGCGATCTCTCGTACAGTTTAAGTTTTAAGATGAGATGGTCATACACTTCAACAAGGAATAGATGAGCTTGATAGTAGAACTGGGAGCTAGTTTTTTTCTAAAGAGAACACTTCATTTGGTCCTTTGATAAAACAACTTCCTCTTTATTTAGGAATGCGCGACTATTTAATTGAGAGATGGCTAGTAGTAGACAACTTAGGTTTTGTCTGTACAGGAAAAATTGGAACGAAAAACTTCTCAAGTAGAAGGATGAACTTGTGAGCCTACTATTATCATGCATTTTACTGCTTATCTTTTGTTTAGTTGGGACTAGGGGTGGCAAACGGGCTGGTCGGGTCGGATATATGTGGGTCGAAAACTGGTAATGCAGAAAACGGATAAAATATCTGACCCCCGACCTATATTTAATACGGATAGAAAATGGGTTAACCGGCAGATAATATGGATATCCATATTATCCATAGCTTCTTGAATATGATCATTTTTGGGAGAGCTCGTAGTCTCCCAAACTTGAGGAACCCACAATTTAAGTCTTTGCAAATGTAAAAGTTAAACCCAATGGTTATCCATTTTTAAGTGGATAATATGGTTATTATCAATATTTGACCAATTCTTAAAAAGTTCACAATCCAACCCAGTTTTAGTGGATAATATGGATGGGTAACTGTATGTTTTATCCATTTTGCACCACCAGTTGGGACGTACCATTCCATTAACGTGGTTGAGCCCAAAAATTCCATCTCAATTTTGGGGGATCATGAAGTAACTGACTCTTTCTGCAAAACTTAATTGACTCTTACTACAGAAAGTACTTTAGATTCATACTCGTATATGATTTTTTTTTTTGTNGGGAGAAAAGAAAACAAGCAGACCTGTATCTTTCTTAAACTCAAGAAGTCACCCTGTGAATTCTATAGGAGACATCCACAAACCAGAGTTTCTATGAATGTAACTTGCTTTTCAAACTATGAGTACCATATAGTAGGTTTTATCACTTTTCTTCACTTCGTAAATGATTAATAACAAGGTTCGATTTCTATACCTCCTCGAATGCACTATTATGCACTCCTGCAGTATACATTCAATAAGTACACAGCCTGCACTTTGTCAGATATAGATGATGACTATTTGAGTATTCCAAAGGATTCTATATATTGGGCACCTTGTACAGAGATCCTAGTTATATTCCTACACATGTATCTGCATCTAGTGGTGCTTAACTGACTGCTGATGCCACAGGACCATTTGCTCCAACCTTGGTGGGCAGGATTATTCGACACATGGCTTGTATGTTGTAGCAGGGTGCCCCATAGATTGATCGAGTTGTGAGTAAACGTACTGTTATAAAGAGGAGATGACTTAACAAAAACATGTGAATAAACATCTCACATTTTAGCCAAAGTAAAGACAAAGTAAATAATTAATAATCTACATTGATTTTAGCAAATTAAGTAAATAAAAGTAATTAAAAGAATTGTACTTTAGCAAAGTCCAAATAAGATTAAAACTACTTGTGGAAAGTTGTTAAATACTTTAACAAGAATCTGTTAAAATTGGTGAAAATTTACCCATTGAATCTGTATTATCCGAAGCATTAAAGTATATAAAGGTTGCTATGCAAGAATGAATTATTATGTGATCAGTGAACTATTTCCTTTTTGTGAGTAGTCTTAACAATTGGTCCATGTATGTTCATATTTCGTTATATCATGTATGAACATTTGTTTTTTCCTTATATTCCTACTCGTGGTCGGATAGAGAATCAGTACAACTGTGATAGAGAATCAGTATAACTGCACCTCTATCCTACTGTCTAAACAGCAATAAGCATCTGGTAGAAAGTTATGTGGGCGAGCATTTCAACTTGAAAATGGTGATCAGAAAGAAGTATTTGTACATTTTTTTTGGTTTAGCCATCCCATATCGGGAGCCCACTGTATCCAGCTGTAGAAAGCCACTATGTGGTGTTTAAGTGCTCCGTATGAAAGGGGACTCCGTTTCCAGGGCTCAATGCCAAGACCTCTGGTAAGGATGGAGGAACCTTTACAATTTCATCACGTCCTTTGGTGGTGAAGTATTTGTACTTCATAGACTGTATAGTAGCTGCTGAACAGAAAACTTTTATATTGTCCATTTCTTAGTTGTATCATATATCTAGATGATTAGTGTCCTAAAGTTGTGTTAAGGATGGAGGAATCTTTACCATTTCACCACACCCCTTGGTGGTGAAGTACTTGTACTTCATAGACTGTAAAGTAGCTGCCAAACAGAAAGCTTTAATATTGTCCCTTTTTTAGTTGTATCATATATCTCGATGATTAATGTTCTAAAGTTGTATTTCTTTGAAGTCGTCAGTTGAAAATATAATTTTGTATGAAACTTTGTTATTTGTGTTCTGGTCATAAGTTGGTGGAGTTTCTGATTTCCTTTCTTTAGCTACCAGAGGAACACTTGCATTTATGCTGGGTTTCATTTTATTTCAGGAAATACTGGTTGATAGGTCTGTTCATGCTGCAACTGGCCGCTTTTTTACTAGTGATTTGGGTGCTGGCAGACAGGAAAAACCTCTTTTACTTAAGGATGATTTCCTGCATGCCATGCATGAGTTTGTTCCAGTGGCAATGCGTGACATCACAAAACCGGCTGCTGATGGTGGTCGGTCTGGTTGGGAGGATGTTGGAGGTCTTAATGACATCCGGAATGCTATTATAGAGGTAAATGTTTATTTTCTGCTTTTTGGGGTTGTATATCCTTTACTGCTACACTAATTAATGTTTTAGTTGTTCATTGGATGAGACATTGATGTAAATTTTAAACAAGCAGTTATTTATTTTAGGGAAAGTTTCACATAAGAACAATTGGGCTCCCTACTTTTCAATTTTATAGCCCATATTTCAATTTACAACCAACTAGCCCAAAAATAATAGGTTAATACTCAACATTCAACTCCAATAGATTCTCGAAATTACTATTTAATTTCTAAAAAAAGATTGCTCAAGCTTTTAAGTTAATTTTTGAATTAGTAATTGTGACTCAAATATTAGTTCAACAAACCAAATCCATTTGGGTGGTGAAAATTAGATTTTTAACAAGCTTAAATATGTGGGTTTAAATTTCGGATTTGATTTTGTGAGAAATTTAGAGTGGGTGTTATTTAGACTTGTTAGAAATAGTATAAGGAGGTTGTATATAAAATTTGAAGTCATTTAATGGAGATTTGGACTGGTTTTGAACAAGAATTGTAACTGAAAATCGTGGAAGAAGTTCGTCTACAGACGCTTGAATAAAGGTGTATAAAAGTGTATAATAGTGTATAAGATGTGTTTATACACTCATATACACTATTATACAAAATTATACAAAAAACTGACTTCGTCTTCTACCTTGCGTCTTTTCTGAAATTTAACTCAAATCTTGCTCAGATCTACTCCAAATCACTTCAAATTTAACTTTTGAACTCCTTTTGATATTTTCAATCAATTGGAACAACACCCAATCCAAACAACTAACAAACTCAAAAAATCCTATTTTCGAAAGCAAAGCTTTGAATGGCCTTCAATGGTGGACTTCTACTCTTCAATTTTCTAACATTGCAAACAGGGGGAGAAGCAGAAAATACACGGCCCCTTGAAGCATATGTAGAAGATGTAAGAAGAAGAGAGAGTGAAAGCAATGGTTGTGAGATTTAACTCCATAGCTTTTAGAAGCGATGGTTGTAAGAACACAAATTTTGAATTTGCTAATGCTTTCAAAATATGTACAATATGGGCTAGGTAGGGTAAAACTTAAAAACATGGGCCATTTTTTGTTATGGTGTGAAGTCATGTGTATTTTCTTGTAATTCTTTCTTTATTTTATGTCTATGCGTCGGCTCATGATTTTTGTTCCCCTTTTATGTTTTCCTCTGCTTTTCTCTGCTTGTATGGAACATGCAAAGTAGATCGTGGTTGGTCCTAAGCAATGTCTTGCGCGAAGCGACCCACTTAGAACAAGCTTCCCTTTATGTTAGGGGATCACTAAAAATGCAACTTCGATAGGATGCTGGATTTGCATTATCAACATTCATTTGGCACATGGAAGTTAATTTGATCCTCCTTTTTCTTTCAAAACTTTGGGTTCTAATAAATACTTTGTATAATCTTTTAATTATTGAGTTAAAAATTGCTCCCACTGAAGGTGTGGATATGGCAATTTTAAATTATATGCTGGATATGAGAGAGAAAGGAAGTGTACTTCAAAGTTTTTACGAAGTCATTTTGTTTCTAATATGATGAGAGAGAAACTTGAAGGTAAAAGCTTTTTGCCGTTGGCGGTTGGACCCGTGATTTATGCTCCATATTTTATTTCTTTTGAACATTTTAGATTCACCTTCCAACAATCAGAAGAAATGTGAACATCCATTCAGCATTTTATCAATATAAATTATTCTTTCACATTTGCACTGTTTTCTTCTACTTCTTTTTCCATCTCTCCTTTCCATAACAATTAAGAAACATGCTGATGGCTACATCTATATCGGCTTTCCTGCATGATTAACGATGTTTTTGTAAGGTAAATAAGTTTATTAATATTGGGAAAAGCTCCCATATACAAGAGGTATACGGAAAAGTAGTGAATCTACATCAAAACATGATTCTCTACAAAAGACACCCAGTCATCTATACAAATAGGAATCACATGGGTGCACTAAAAGCAATCAAAGACGTGAGGCTATTCCTCAAATATACAAAATCATTTTCAATCTCCGCAAAGGCTCTCCTATGTCTCTCCCTCCGTACAACCCACATTAGAGCTAAGGAGGCAACTTCTCATGCCATTGGTCTTCTTTTCCCTCTGGTTGAATGGTTATAGTTTGCTATATTATTGAGTTGGCTTCAATGAAGGCAGGCAATAATTATTACTCATGTAGTGGGATAGAAACATCAATTATTAATTGGCTTGTCAGCTTGTCAGAGAGATGGAATACCAGACACTCTAGAATAACTTTAGCTTGCACTCCTTTCTTTGTTTCATGAGCTTGTTGGGGCTTCTTTTCTTTTTGTCTTGTTTCTTTATGTAACTTAGTTACTCATCTTCTATGTCCAACTATGCTATCATCCAGCAAATATGGACGAACATCCTTGATAGTGAATGGTGATAAATGGTTGTAAACCCCTTTGAACTATGTATTAAGTAGTATGGGTGTTAAGCTAAACAAAAATCATGTTCTAGGGTTTGCATGTGCTTTACTTAAAGGTTCTCTTTTATTTTTCATATCAACTTTAGCTTGGATCAATTTGTTCAGCATATCAAGTTCCTGTTTTTGCTGCTGTCAGATGATTGAGTTGCCATCCAAATTTCCAAATATATTTGCGAAAGCTCCTCTAAGGATGCGGTCCAATGTTCTGTTGTATGGTCCCCCTGGTTGTGGCAAAACACACATTGTTGGTGCTGCAGCTGCTGCATGCTCGCTAAGATTTATCTCAGTCAAAGGTCCTGAGCTGCTGAATAAATACATTGGTGCCTCTGAGCAAGCTGTAAGAGAATTTACAACTTTTTCACTTCTCCTAGTACATATTTTTATTAAGATGATGCCAAACTCCC